ACAAACAATGTCTAACCTTTCAAGGGCATTTCAGAAACATGACAAGTAAAGCAAGTATTACAAATGAACCAGGTAAACAGGTGGTCTCATTTTATAAAGTATCTTGGTTAACATTACTCTCTGAAATATGAGAAGTGAATAGTTATTTTTAGTTTAATAGAAATCTAGATAAATGTTTTTTCATTTGTAAAGATTATGTATAAATTCTGTGGATCTTTATCTATTGAAATGTTGGCAAATGCCATAACATTTTAGAAAGTGATGCTAATTATTAAGGTTTCAAAGTAAAGAGCTTTGATTCAGGGAGGTAAAGGGCCCATTCAAGACCCAATGTACAGGAAGAAGCACTAATAGCTGGTTCCTTGGTAACACATCCAGTTCTCACTAATTCATGTAATAAAATTCAGTAAGTGTTAAATAATCGTAAGCCACTGTTTACAAAATCTGTAAAAACATTGCAGTCTACGATGAGAATTTTTAATCCAAGTTTCTAATCTGTGTTCAGAATAATCAGAATATTCCAATGAAAGTATCTATATGACACTCAGATAAAAGTATCTATAAACACTCAGAATCTTTTATGTTATGCTGTGCATAATAATTGATAAAATGTAAGATCAGAAAAAAATACCCCAACAAGCAAGCATTTTTATGCATAACGCACTGAGAGATTTTGGAGCCAACAAAGTTTTTTTTTTTTTTTCCTAAAGATCCTTCTGTGTTATTGTATAGTTCTTGAATAGTTGGACACACCATAAGGCAATGTCCAACACAATTGATTCCCATTCCTCATGCGTAAAATGGGACTAGATTTTCATTTCTCCAGAATTCTATGACAGGTTTCTCTAGAAGACATTTCCAAAGTAGCCAACATAGACGTACTCGAGTCATACAGCTAGTTGCAGTGGGGAGACGTCTTTATGTATTCTATCAAGCCAGGTCACAGTAATCATGTTCACAGCTGCCAGCCAGCTACAATCCCAGGCACAGGATGTTGCTGTGGGATGGCAGGGCACTGTGTTTCCACTCAGGTTGAGGGGACCACTGGGACATTTGGTCTTTTGACAAAAGACCAAGTTATTGTGTGTAAACACAGACAGACACACACACACCTATTTTTCTGTTCTCACGAATCTTGCTATAAAAAGGCTGCTATACAAACTGTAGGGTTATGAGAATGTATTTTCAGCCTTAATTTAAGATCATATTAGAGCATTGTCATAAATTTAATGTTTCACGTAGTTTTATATTATTACTACTTGTAATCCTATCTTGGATCAGTCAGCATAGGCTATGTTCTTATATAAAATACAGCCTGCAATTCACAGGTTTAGCACATGATTCTTGCTTACACAAAGTCCAGTGCAAGCCAAGCAGGCTTTCTGTATCATCTAGTGACTCCAGAAACAGGGGCCTGCGGCAGGGAGAGGGCTGAGGAGGCACACTGGGTCTTAGTTCTCTTTACACACGCCACTGCCACTCCTATTCTGTTACAGCCACATAGTTTCATGGCCCAAACAGAGAGGCAGGAAATGTGGGTCACATGCATGGGTGTCGTGAGCACCAGCAGCCTGATATTCACTTGTCGCCTAAACTCACACTGTTTTCTCCTCCATTTGGCAAACGTTAATGTTTAACTTTCTATATGCAAACATTCTGCTGTATGATAACAATTCCAGAGATGAAGAGAATGTCATGACTACCTTCAAACTTCCTCACAGATCAGAGAGGCAGATAAAAATATTATAATACAGTCATACTGTGAAGCAGGAAGAAAATGCCCCAAACGGAGCATGAACCATGTCTTCTGGGAAAGAGCACGGAGGGAATTAGTCCTTATTGATTAATAAGGAATCTGTGAAATGCTGTAGCCGTGAGGGGGACATCTTTTCTGAGCATGAAAGGAAATAAAAGGCCCATACAAGTTTGATATGAAAAAAGGGTAGAAAATAAGAAAAGACAGAAAAATACGGTAAGACGTGGCGTGAGAGGCAGGAAGAGGAGAAAAAGCTGTAATATGAGGATGCCGAGAGACAGTGCACATTTGGGTTTCGTTAGTTTACACACTGTGTAGGTATCCATAAAGTTTGTGTACAATTTAAAGCATTAAACTATTTAAAAATAGTTTTTGCAGTTTGCTTATTTGTGGAACGAGTTGCTAGAATATGAAACATTCTGTTCTGTTTTGTTCCTCTCATTACAGTTTCACCTTGTGAATGTGAATCAAGGCAAACATTTTTCTAGAACACTCCAAGTTCTGATCATAAAACTTAATTTTCTCCTAAATTGTATTTTTCCCTCTATTTCTGAACAAAATTAAACTATAGGGCATAGGATAGGTTGACTGGGTTTATTCCTACCTAATTGTCCTTTCAGATTTCTTTCTAATCCAATCAAATATTTACGTAGCATGCCTAGCTATAGCAACAAGTTAATTTACAAATTAGTTCCCAAATACTCTGCAGCCCCAGTATGTAAACTGGATTCAGAGCTTTAACTGTTGGAAAAACTAGACTTAAAAATAAAACGTGTGAGGTTATGATATGATGCTATGAGTACAGCACTTGGCATTTGGGTTAAATAGGTCAAGGATATGGGGCAGAATAAAGAACAGGACAAAAAAAAAAAGGAAAAATCAAAACACAGGAAAAGGTAGAGTAGGGTCAAAGTTCAAGAACATATGGTCTTTCTTCTTCCCCTTTGAAAAAAAATAAAAGTGATGAATGAGCAAGAAAAATGTCAATAGTCATTGCTCAAGAACATGACCTTTAAGAAGTTTTTCCCCCCAATTTTTCTTTTTTTGTCATTGAAATGCAGTGTTCATAGTCACACCCAGACATTTAGTCATTTTCAAATACCTACTATATGTGACACAAATGTCTGTTTATGCATTTAAAAACATAAAATCTTTTCCAGAAATTTTCTGCCCTTTTTTAGTTTTCAAACAAATGTTCTTTCTATAAAATTGTCTTCCAAACATTTTGACGTTACCAGTAACCACCAGTTACTCACGTCACGTTATCTCATTTAAATCTTATGAAAACCATAAAAAGTTGGTATGACTTCCAGTTTGTAGAGGCAGAAACTGAAATTCAAGTTTTGTCCATGGCTACAGACCAGCCAGGTCAAAGGGAAGTCAATGTGTTCAATTGAATTAACTCTCTACATCTGCTTCCAAATCTGTGAAGTCACAGAAAACATCTCGTCAGGGAATCAAGGGAGGAAATCAAGGGAGGAAAAGCCAGTTAAACTGGCAGGAAAATGTGTTTACAAATACAAACCTACACCTACTCTTCTGAACAGTTTCTTTCTGCTAATAAAGGTATTGAAGAAACTCAATCTTTGGAGTGGCTTCTGGGTTCACCTCCAGCCCTTCTTCTTCCCAACTTCCCCATGAAATTTAGACAGGGGAAGAAAACAAACCGAGGAATTACCATCATCCCCGGTACTACTCATGGTCAAATAAGTAAATCCTTTTTCGAAAATTTAAATAATAATCCGAGCGACTAAGTATGAAATGAAAGGCATTATCTACAAATGACTTTTTTTCCCAGCTCTGCCCTGTTTCCACTGCCTTCCACCGCTGTTCTGTGTACCTGTCCTCCGTGGTGTACTTTTCATCCCCCCCGCCCCCCGCCCCCGCCCCGGGGACTTTGCTGGTGCCCCTAATCTCCAACGCCGCCCTGTCCCCTTCGCCTCCAAACGGCCTCAGTTGCAAAATGGCTCAACGCTTTCCCTCAAGCTCCGGGAGAGGTGAGGACGTCCTAGACTGCGTGCTTCTGCCAGCTGTGTCGCTTTTGCTCACTTTCCTCTCCTATAAGTGGCTCAACTCCCTGGGGGCCCTAAACGGAGCCCTCCACACCTGACTCCTGGGTCAGGCTCCAAAGTGCTTCCGAGGAAAACCTGTCAGGACCCATCGGAAGGACAGATCTATCTACCTGCCTCTTGGTTAAAATTAAAATCCGAAGTGGAGTGCCCCAGCCGCCAAGCGAGTGGATCCCTAGGGCTGACAGCGGCCTGGAGCATGCTCAGTCGCCTCCGGTCACCCCAATACCGCTGTCCCCCCCACCTCCCACGCGTCCTCCGCCGCGACCTCCCCGGCGCCCACCCTCCACCAGGCGCTCGGCAGCCGCCGCCCGGCGCGCGCCGCCTCCTCCTCCGGCCGCAGCGGGCGAGGACACGTCAGGGGACATAAATAAATAAATAATTCCATTCACTCGGTGACAGCCAGACGGAGCGGCTGTCGCTCGCGAGGACCCAGAGCTGCAGCGCCCACCCTGTGCCAGAGACCAGATAAAGTAAGTACACCCGGAGGAAGGGGGGACGAGGCGTCGCGGAGAGGAAGGCGAGCGCGCCCGCGCGGAGCTGGCCGGCGAGCCCTTATATAGGCAAAAATACCCCAATCTGCCACCCCAGGGGAGCGCGGAGCGCCGGGCGGGGGGCGGGGGGCGCGCCAGGTGTCCTGCCCCGCTCAGCCGGGGGCTGTGCTGTCCCGGATCTCCCGCGCTCCCCGGTGCCCGCCCGGCGGCCCAGGCGCCCCCGCCAGCATCCCGCCGCTCGGGGCCCCTGGAGTGGCGTCGCGCGGTTGCGGCAGAGTGGCGACTGGGTGGTGAGAGTTTGTGCAGGGAACGTCTTCTCTAGCATTTAATCGGGGCTCCGCGGGGCTCGGAGGAGGGGACGAAACAGCAGGGGGGTCGTCCTCCTCCCTTTTCCGTATCCAGGAGGATGACGCGTGTACAGGAGACGGAAAGGTAGACTCTGGCCAGGCCTGCGCGCGGCGGAGGGGAGCGCGGGCTCGGCGCGCTGCGGCGGGGCTGGCGGGGCTGGCGGGGCTGCGCCTCCTGGGGTCGCGCGGCGTCCCGGCTGCTGCGCGCCCCGCGGGCCCGGAGCCCGCTGCTCTGACGCGCGCGAACCGCCCGCCCTGGGCCGGGGCAGCGCCGCAGCCGCCCGCGCCACCCTCTCTTCTCCGGTATTTCCGCGTAAGACATCGGAGACTGCCTTGCCAAGGGCGGTGATGCTCAAGGCCACCTTCCCGGTAGGGCTCAGGAGGGAATTTTGTGGTTCAAACTTCAGGGAAACGACCCGTCTCCCTGCGCCGCCTCCCCGGGAGAGGAAAGCAGGAGTGGGTTCTCTGGCAGCGTTTCTTTGCCCCTGTTTCCTGGAGAACTCAGTAGGGCTGGGCAGCGTTGAGGAAGGGCTGGCTAGTGGCTATAGGAAAGCTAACATTTGGTACACTTCTGTTTTCTGGGGTCTAAAAAGAGACACCCCAGAGAAAGAAGACAGCCTACCATGAGGCGGGACAAGAGTCAGCTGTGGGCACTTGGCGTCCTTCCCCGGCACCACGTGCTTCGCGGCTAAACTCAGTCAGAACTCAGTTACAAACTTTTAACAGGTTGGTAGCTCGACCTTGCGGAGTCATTGGAGCAACAAGTATTAAGGGTGCATTTGGGGAGGTGTGCCTGAAAAATCCGAGTAGAGCGGGGTCTGCAGAGGGCAGCTGAGGGTTGAGCAGCGTGACTCACAGCGAAGCCATCCGCGCTCCACTTCTCCCGTCTAACAAAGCAATGCTGGTGAGGGGGCAAACGAAGGAACTTAGTGGAAAAGAAACGCCATAAGCGACTCAGCGGATGGTGCAAGAACCCAGAGGTCAGGAACAGCTTTTTGCGGATATTCACCTCGGCAGTTTACAGTTATACGTTTTTCCCACCAAAGAGTGTGTTAATAATGATAAATGGTTTGAAATTTTAACACTTGTTTCTCAATGTTCAAATGAGAACATCCTTCTTGAAATGCTCAAGATTATTTCTAGACATGCATTTGCTTTTTTGTCATATCTGGCTTTTGATTTTGGACTTGAGCTTTTTTAAATGGAAAGTTGGCCAAGTGACCCAAATGAATCTTCCTGCCCAGAGTCACATTCCTGGATCACGGATACGATATGAAAGGGCATCTCCTGGACTTGCTTTTAATTCTGTGTTAACCCACCAGCATACTTTAAGGCTTTCATGGGGGAAAAGGGAGTTAACTTTTCAAGCTTGGTTTGGCACGTGTGTACGGTTGGGTAATAGTTTAACAATCTCTGCTTCCATTTTTTCTTTAATTTTCCATAAAATGAGATTGGTTATGCTCACTATGAAGTCCTATTGTGAAGTGTATGGAAAACAGCTAAATATAGAGTGACTATTTTTGAGTTCCTAAAATAATTCCAGATACGCTACTAGGGTTACCAAGATGAGTGAAGTTGGAATTCTCTTCCCAGGAAATTCATAACCACTTATCCGGGTTAATCTTCCTCCAATCCCATTTGCTCTTCAGTCAATGTCTTTCTCTTCTTAATGAAAAATCATATATCCCAAAGGGCATGGAAGAAATTGGGCAGTCGTGACACATGTTTATGACATCGGCTAAGAGGCAAATTCGGGAAGGGTACCTTGCTTCAGGAACCTGTAATTCAGCCCCATTTTATCCATTGACGGTGACTCTTTATAAACAGAAAATGGAGACTGTCTCTTGTGACTATGAAGGGAGGAGAGAAGAGACTGAGCTGTATGTAATTCCTTCTACACCCTGGAAAGCCCAATCAACCGACTTGCTCCTAGAAACCTGAGTGTATAGCAGCTGTGACAACTCTGCAGTGCTCCCTATGGCCCAGGCCCTGTGCTCCTTCTGAAAGCACAAAGCCATCGTATGAGGCAGGTGTGCCATAGTCACATTTACTGAAGAGGAATTCAGGAGGCAGAAAGAATTACACAGCTTGCTCAGCTACCACTAGTAAACGGCTGGCTGAGTGGGGCATGCGCCTGGCCAGTCCTCTTGGCTTTACCCACTGTGTGATGTGGCTTCTGCCCTGCATGAAGCTAAACAAGAGAAAAGACCTTGTCTGGTGAGTTCTCCATAACCCGGAGCAGTGCCTGGTGGAGTGTGGAGTCCTGAGCAAGTCATGAACAAAGGAAGGAGAGAGGGAGGGAGGCAGAAACGAGGTAGGGAGGAGGAGAGGGAGACCAGGGAGGCCCCAGCCAAGCCTCTCGGGCCTTCAACTCTGATTCTGGCAGGAGATTTTACCACAAACTGCCCCGAGGGCAGGAGAGTGGAGGCTCTTTGAGATTGCTTTGCATCCAGTCATCCAGTCTGTTACCTAGTCCAGGAAGCTCACCTGTGCCCCCAGAAAAATATTCTCTCTCTGAATTGACAGTTTAGCTGAAGGTACCTATATACTGTAAACATCAGAAAGAGACTTCTGCAGAGTGGACCAAAAAAGGAAGAAAGATGAGAAAAAGGGAGGGGCAGGGCAGACCATATTTGAAGGGCCCTGGATTTAAATTTAAATTTTAGCTCAGCTGCTGATTGATGTTGTCTTATGCACCTGACATGGCTGTACTGGACACCAAAGAAGGTAACAAATGTAAGGGGTCTTACACGACACCCGACCAATAGAATGACGTGCAACAAAGAGTAATTATAATACGTTCCTTCACTGTCCTTTGTCCCTTTCTTCACTTCAAACTATCCCAAAGAAAATGTCCCCTCCTGGTCCCAACATCTCAAGTGATCTTGGTGCCTCTGAGCTGCCTCCTGCCTGGACCTGGGCCTCTCCTTAGGCCAGTTGTTCTGTTTTCCCCTGCACTGTGATGTTTGGACAGACATCCTCTTTCTCTTCTTAGGTTATATGCTTCTTGACAATAGAAACCTTATCTGATTCATCTGGAAGGCCTTGTGGACCTGGTCCCTAGGGCAGAACAAGGCAGAAAATGGGCTCTGAAGTTCAGCCTGTCTACGAGGTTTACATCTTGGCTTTGTCACTTACCAACGAGGACAAGTTGCTAAACTTCTTTAAATCTTGGTTTCTTCATGTGTAAGAAGGGGATAATCATCAATTTTATAGTATTTTGGATGTACAGATTCAATGAGCCAATGTCTGTGAAATAGCACTGTGCTAACTCAACATGTGTCGGCTAGTGTTAGGTATAGACTATCTGGCCTGTGGCTTTCAGGGTGTTGGAAGGATCACTGGCTCCTTCTCCTGAAGAGGTCTGGGAACTGTGAAATGCCTGTCTTGTCATTGGATTCCCTACCATTCCTGAGTTGCATAACAAACCATTAAGTGGACTTTGAGAAGTCACCCTGCTTGTCACAGACTTTCTCAAAACTGTTTGGATCAAAGCTATTAGGGAATATGCTGGGAAACAAGTGCACGCCAATTCCCAGTGAAATAGAACTTGTTTGCTAACTTTTTAAAAGCTTCATTTTCTTGATTCCTCCTTTCAGAGGTGAACGAAGGGGCCCAGTCTTCCATGTGGGAGATCCAGCCATTTACAGTCCTAAGAGACTAGCCTGATACTGGCCACTGTCAGGAGGGGTAAACAACATTTATGGCACATATTTGTCGACTAGTAAGTGGGGGATGTATGTGCCTTTATGTATCAACTATAACATCAACTGTAATAATCAAGAATAAGGGAAAAATTAACCACAAGTTAAACAAATTGAACCTGACTTCCATAAAACGAGTCCAACTCTTAACTGATACTTGGGTGCACCAGAGACATTTTCAACATATTCTCAAATATCAGTGTTGATAACAATACAAATATTTTTGGAAATAATTTTTCTGATCTAATACCAGAACTCTTGCAAATGTTTTCATCACTATTCATTGAAATCTCCAAGGAATTCATGAAAATATGACAGGACAATTGATTGGCAGCTAAAAGATGCTGGCCTAATGGTATTTTTACCCAAGGCTTTGCACATTTGAGATATTTCCACAAAAATGTCTACGTGGTTCATTAACACCCTCTGTTAATTACAGAAATCTGTAGTTAATCTTTAGTAATACTTGGCATTAAAGTAGCAACTTCCAATTGATACTATTTAGTATAAGTGAGAACACAAATATTTAGATAATAAATATTTATAAATATTTTATACAGATATTTGTATAAAACGTTGGCATTTTATAGAAAACATTTTATTTTAAACATTGGTTATTCTCCATCTAATAACACAATGGTGTATATTACCATTGATTAGTTTTCCCCAATCAGATTTTGCTTAAAGATAATACATGGATAATGGTACTTTATAAAAAGAATCTGCCCCACTAAATAGTGAACTTCCAGACCTACTTCTTTTAGAACTAGATTAGATATGAATAATCAATAAATGGAAAAGGCATGCATTTGACAAGTTTCTAAGGGATGAACCATGTTAATAATTTTTCCCTTATTTTAAAACTGATTGTCAAAATTTCCAAAATCTGAAGTTTTATCAATGCTTCTCAAATAAGCAGAAGATGAATTTGTGATAAGCGGTGTTAGGTGACATTGTTTCTCACAGGTGGGATCACTGGCATTGGGGAGGGACGCTTCATTGTTTAGAAACACCTCTTTGATGGCAGGGCATCAGTTAGGGTCTGTGACCCACCTGTCTTGGTTAAGGCTGCCATAACAAATTGTCACAGATTAGATGGTTTGTAAACAACAGAAATTTATTTCTCACAGTTCTGGAGGCTAGAAATCTGTGATCAGGGTGCTGGAGTGGCTGGGTTTTGATGAGGTTTTGTTCTAGATCACAGTCTGCTGACATTTGTAGCAGCACGTGGTGATAGAAGGCTGAGAGGACTCTCTGAGCTCCTCCGTAAGGGCAGTAATCAATTTCATTTGTGAGGGCCCCACCGTCATGACTCTTCACTTCCCAATGCCCCATCTTTTAATATTATTACCTTTGGGATTAGGATTTCAACATATGAGTTTTGGGGGGAACACGTTCAGTCTATAACAATGACCTCTGTTTTCTGTGTGCCAGTGGCTTTCCCTCAGTTATTATAACAATCAAAAAAATTCCTCTCCAAGGCTGGGCACAGTGGCTCACCCTTGTAATCCTAGCCCTCTGGTTGGCCGAGGTAGGTAGATTGCTTGAGCTCACAAGCTTGAGATCAGCCTGAGCAAGAGTGAGACCCCATCTCTAATAATAGCCAGGTGTTGTGGCATGTGCCTGTAGTACCAGCTACTAAGGAGGCTGAGGCAAGAGAATCACTTGAGCCCAAGAGTTTGAGGTTGCTGTGAGCTATGACGATCTGGCCCTATATGTCCCTCTACCAAGAGCGACAAAGTGAGACTTTGCCTCAAAAAAAAAAAAATCCCTCTACATTTTAATATACCTCTTAGTGGGATAGTACTAGATAGGGCTGAAAACTATGGGTCAGTAGGATCAAATTGAGAATCTTTAAGGAATCCTGACATCAGGGTATCTTCAAATAAAACAAAAATTCTTTTTTTCTGTTAAAGGAGTAAAAGAATAATCTCACATGAAAATGTTTTGATTTGAAAGTATGAGTTCTTTTCTGGTGAGTAAGGACTGACTTTAATGACCAGCAGAGCACTGACTTCCTAGGCTCCAAACTTTCCTCTGCTTTAAACCAGCCACCGCCGTTGGCAGTGCTGGGGCCCGAGGCTTCCTGCTCCTCTGTGGCTTCCCTGTGCTCCTTGCTGTCTTCCTCTCTGCCTCTCATTTGCACCCGTCGACCTCTGCTTTCTCCTCCCGCTCACTAAAGCACCTGTTCCTCAAGTCTGTTTGGGGGTTTCTTTCATCTGTGTGCTGTTGACTGGCAAAGCTGTCTGCCCTTGACCTCTGCCTCCACCTGCCTCCCCCATTATCGTCTGCAGCCCTGGATTCCCACAGTTTGGAGGTGTTTGTGGACATTCCCAAATGTCCGTGGGGCGGCTTCTCACAATGCTGCAGACCCCTCCAGGGCTCCAGTGTCTTTTCTGAAACTTCCTTCCTTTTGTTGCCCATTCCCCAATTTCTTTAGTGGTATCAACATTTTCTAGTCCAGACACTTTTGAAATCCCCCTCTCTCTGCCCTTGCATACATCCAGAGTACTTTTTTTTAAGCGGGGTCCCTCTTTTCTGATGTCGTCACAGCCTCCAGGTGCTTTTGCCATGCTGCCTACAGTCAGGTGGAGTCTCTGGTTGAGTCTTCCCACCTGTGCCATCTCATGCTCTCATGCCTCCAGCTAATTCTGCATTTACCATCACATACTGACTGTCACTGAAATGGCCTCCCTCACCTACATGGAAATAACTTTTTTTGAGACAGAGTCTCACTATGTCACTCTCAGTAGAGTGCTGTGGCATCATAGCTCACAGCATCCTCCAACTCTAGGGCCTAAGAGATTCTCTTGCCTCAGCCTCTCAATGAGCTGAGACTACAGGCACCTGCCAAAATGCCTGGCTATTTGTTGTTGTTGTTGTTGCAATTGTCATTGTTGTTTAGCAAGCCTGGGCTGGATTTGAAGCCACCAGCCCTGGTGTATGTGGCCAGCGCCCTAACCACAGAGCTATGGGCACCCAAGCCCCCTACGTGGAAATATTAATAACACTTTGTCCACTGACCCATAGCACGCTGTTTGTGACAAAATTCCAAACAGCCTTTCCGGGCTCCTCTCGCAGGTCCGCTGTACAGAAGTGAGATAGAACTCTTTCCCACGCCCGATTCAGCCTCATTCTACCTCTCCAATAAGGGTGAACAAAGTTTATCATTGGTCATTCTGTTTCTTGATTTTGGAATACTCTGACTTTACCATGGAATGTGTTAACTTCCCGCTCTTACCCTTTCTGCCTTTAACCTCATCTTGAAAGTGGAGTTTAAACACCCCATTCAAATTTTCCTCGGAAGCTTTGGGATAGCCAGAGAAAGTTTTCTGAAATTTCAGTAGTGTTGCCTTTATGATATGTCTTATTTGTCTTATTGTGTTATTGTTACCTTTGCATAAGTCCCCAGTTTCTCAATCTGTGACACATTTCTGGAGGTCAGGAATAGTAATGTGTCTATATTTGTCTTTGTTGATGCCTTTGTAGATTGTGGAGTCCCAGGGACCTTAA